CTCAGAAACTACAAAACCGAATGATTTGAAATATTGCAGATGTTTTAAGGTTATGGAAAGAATAATAAATGTTTAGTCAAAATATATTTGCTTATCCCCCCCAAAAAATTTATGACGTCAGCTCGAAAATTTGCTGAATAAATCCTATCTAAACTGTATGATGAGTCTGTACTTGTGATTTATCACTCCATTTATATTTTTTAGATTTCCTTATACAGGGTGACCCAAAAAAAATGAATGCGTAAATGTATTTTATTGATTTAATCAGGAACTACACAACCGAATGTTTTGAAATCTTGCAGATGTTTTAAGGTTATAAAGAGCATAATAAAGTTTTAGTCAAAATATATTTGGTTATCTTTTCCAAAAAACTAATGACGTCAGCTCAAAAGTTTGCCGAATAAATCCTATCTAGAATGTACAAAATATTATGAGTCTGTACTTGTAATTTATCATCCCATTCATATTTTTTGAATTTGCACATACCGGGTGACTCAAAAAAAATGAATCCGTAAAGTTATTTTATTGATTTACTCAGGAACTACAAAACCGAATGCTTTGAAATGTACTGCGAAAAAAAACATAATAGGCATGCAGTCGTCACGTTTCCGACAGCGAGGGAAGTACTGTCTAAACTCTTTAGACCAATTTTTTAATCAAGTGTCAAGTGTGCGCGCTGCTAAGTTCCGAATGAGTTGTGTCAAATTCCGAGAGTACGGTGTTCCAAGTGTATGTTGAAATACGTACTGAAAGGTAGTACTGTTAGAAGTGAAGTAGAACTTCGTTCTTCTGCTGTGTAAAGAAATGGCGGCTCAACTCCAAACTGAGAGGCCATTAGTACAATATGTTTTAGCTTTAAGTTTTTAAAAGACATTTTCGTACGAAAAACACTATTGTAATAATAAAATAAAAAAGCAGACAATTAAAAATGTAAAAAGTAAACATCTGCTAAACGTTTTTTTTTATTTATAGTAGGTCCGTATGCTTGAAGATGAAGGGAATCGCTACAAGTAATAGCAGAAGAAGAAGAAGCCAAAAAGGTAGGATTTTTTTCATAATCAAGTGTCATTAGTACGCGGTGCTAAATTCCGACTGCGTGGTGTTCAATTCCGAATTCGCGATTACAACACGTAATACTGCAATAAGTGCAATATGAATTAAACAAATTTTAAATAAAAACAAATATTCAGGCACTTGGAAATATAAAAAAAGCTTCAATTAAATGATGGTCTCCCATTTCCGTCTGTCTGTCTGTCTGGTGTCTGTATCCATTTATATCATTACATTTTGTATATATATTAGGAATATCATGCAGATGGTTAAATGCTAACTACAATTTGGCTAATTATCCCCACCACCAAAGGGATGACGTCATCTTCAAAATTTATGATGAAACGTGTTTTTAAATTTTATAAAATAAGATACTCCTGCACTTGTGGTGTGTGAATCCGTGTCGAATTTTCAACCTAGACATCCAGAATTTTTGCAAAAAATTCAAAGGTGAATAACAATATTTTGCAATACAACTTTAAAACTGCAAAACCGATTGTTCTGAAAGCTTGTAAATATATTAAGGTTATCGTAATAATGGTAAATCGTTAAGCACCATTTATTCGTTTATCCCATCCCAACAAATTGATGACGTCATCTCAAAATTTTGTTAAGGGAAAACTCATTTGGAATGTACGCCCAACACGGTTCTTTACATTTACTTTAACGTTTCATACATATCTTTATTTTAACTTATAAGGGTTTTCATAAAAAAAATAAAATTCTCATAGCGAGGAAAGTTCTGTGGAAATAACCCATTTTTTTTACGGAAGGTCTGAAACTTGAAGAAGAGGGGAATTGCTACATATGTACCGGGACGCCACAGCAAGAGGACGGGGGATTCTGGACAACTAGGTAGAGAGAATTTATGGAGCCCACGTAGTCTATTTAGCTAATAGACGACAACTATGCGACTATGCCCCCACCTAGCAAAATTAAAATAACAATATATTACGAATTTAACACTTTTCAAGACTAATGCAAGTACAAAGCTGGTAATAACAGATAAGATACAAACAAACAAATAAATAAACATACAAACAAACAAACAAACAATAAAACAACAAGAGCGAAAAAAATAATAGAAACAATTCAGATTAACGATTTTTCTTTTTATTTTATCAGGTAATGCAGCCGCAATAATTTAGACTTCAAGCCCTTTTATGACCAAAAATTTTTGCTTGAGGTCACGAATTTCGTGACAATTTCACTTTTGAACGTGTAAATAAATTTAGTAGTTCCTGTTTTTACACGTGTTCTATAGATGAGTTTGGAAAAACGGTAGGAATTTCCCAAGAAACGAAGTCGAAAGCAGGCGCGGATACAGGATTTCGTTTAGGGGGAGGCAATTTTTGTGCGATTTTACCTATCTCTCAGAAATTCGTTCTAAACAAAAAAATTTATAAAATTTTAGCTAGTATACTCTTTTTCACATAACATGGGTGACATTTGGTTGTTTTCGTTACACGTACCTATAGTGTACAGTAGAACCTCGATAATCCAAATTAATTGGGAAAAAGGTGTGTTCGGATTAACGATTTGTTTGGATCAGCGATTTTCCCAAAAATCTGAAAGGGAATTTAATAACTTCATACACAGTTGAAAACAAACTTCAAGAAATAAACCTTAATTTCATTAAACAAATTTAAAGAATTCTTAAGTAACAATGGATAATACATACATTTTAAAAAAATATTACTCCGTTACCAGAATTACCAGAAACACGCTATATTTTTGGAATCAACACGCCGGGATCTATGCCCTGAATTTTTTCAGAATTTTTGGATTAATTTTTCAAAAATTAAATTTTCCTTTACGTATTACCTCCTATGCAAATTTCGACCCATTCTCAACGATTTTCGAAATTTATCTAAATACAGTTTCTTGTTGATTTTCGACCTCAGAAGTCATATCCGCGTTCATTTCATCGATAACTTAAACCATTTTTCCAGATTCGTCCAGTTGAAATATCGAAATTTTTAAAAATTTCGAAAAATTCTAATTTCACACCGAATTTTCCGAAAATATTGCTCGGTTACCATTAACATGCTATTTTTTTGGAATCAGCACGTCGGGATATACATATATCTCTTAAAATTTTGTCAGAATTTTTAAGAAATTTTTTCAAAAATGAAATTTTCCTCATGAAAATTTCGATCCATTTTCGACGATTTTCGAAATTTAACTAAATACTTTTTCTTGTAGATTTCGGGCCTCATTTCTTCGATAACTTCAACCTTTTTTCCAGAAGTAGTTCATTAATTCAGTGCATTGAAATATCGCAATTTTTAAAAATTTCAAAATATTCCATACAACATATGCAGAAAGATCTTGCGTCATTTTTCCAAGTCCGTGTTTCCAAGTTCAGTTCGGATTGCAGAGTTTTTGTTCGGATTAAAGAAGCATCGACTTCAAATAGCTTCTGTTCGGATTACTGGATGTTCGGATAATCGTGAATTCGGATTATAGAGGTTGTACTGTATTTACAAAATGAAGTGTGATTTCAAAATTTTGAAATTGGTCAAAATAAAGTACCTCGATCGTGTGTCAGGGGGGGGCAATTGCACCCATTGCCCCCCCCTGGATCCGCGCCTGGTCGAAAGTGACTTCTGGATATCGAAATCTAGAAGAAAATGTATTCAACTAATTTTCTAAAATTGTTGAACAATGGTCGAAAACGTCAAAAATGCAAGTACTAGCCCCGCCCATCTGCCCTTTATTTTCTCAGAGGGTATGCCACTTAAGAGACTAGGTCCTTTGTCAAAATCACTTTTATCTTGGCAAGTACTAGCCCCGCCCGCCCACCCTTTAATTTCTTAGATAGTATGTCATTTGCTAAAATCAGTCTTATCTTGGCAAGTAGCCTCCTTTGTAAGACGTTTTGCTATAGAAAATGCTGCACGTTTTGAAGAACGAGATAAGTATTTTGTAGTCTGACTTAGATATTTAAGTATTTCATTTTTAGTTGATAAAAAATAAAATTTATAAACATAAACAAATGAAAGTTGAGTGCAATAAAGAACTACCACCATTTGACAATAGTTCAAACATATGCTAAAATAATTACTTTTGAAACAGATACTATTCGTTATAAAATAATGCAAATATAATTATTTTTGTCAATACTATTTCGCTTTCACTCGTTTTGCACATATGTATTTTTTGGTTTTACTGCAACGCGATTTTGCGAACTTTTAATTTTTTTTTTTATCCAACCAATTCGCTAGATCTCAGTTTTACTTTTGTTAGTTTTTATAACTTATATGTATGTTTTAAAATCTTCTGAAAAATGCGGTTGATTTTTCTCGTAAATTATATATTTTGCAGCAGATATATCCATCACTATTCGTCATCCTTCTTTGCAAAATGTTTCTAACACACTCATTAATACTTTATTATTTTAAATATTGATGTTGAAAACGACAACTGCGAGCTAAAACTGATTGATTATACGACCATTTGTATCTTACTGTCACTCACCTTCCTTTTATCTTCTCAATTAACGATATAAAAAAATCTACAAGGTCAAAAAACTAAAAATGTTAAAAGTTACCATTAGGTAATACTTTTTCAGCAACAGGTAAAATTGTTACTATACGTTTAAAATTCATTCACCGAGCTTCTACACCTACCGACCCACCCATTCGGCTCCCATTGAATCATCCGACCGAAGAATTCCTAATAACAACACGATAACATAAAAGTTTTGTTAAGGTCATGATCTCTCATTATCACATTTCGAAATGACAATAATTACTGACTTCAATGGGCTTTCATCAACTCTTGTTTTTATTTTTAACTAAATCTCGTTCGAGATTCTGCTTGCGTCACCCTTAACTCTATTATTATATTGCGAAAGATAAGACGTTTCTTCTTTTCTCCTAAATATAATCGGTTTATAAAATAGCCGGCGATAAGTATTAATTTATGTCTTTAATATTCATGCGTTCAAGCTTACAATACACCAGTTGAACGACACACTTCAAACTAATAACAATACTTAAAATTTTAGTTACGGCAGTATTCTCAGCGTATTATTGAATATCTTTTAGTGAGTGATTTGTTTTAGTGTTTTATTTTGTGAATTACATAAACATGTCAGTTATCACAACGAAACAGGTAGTTTGAATTTGTTTAGTTTTTACACAACTTGTAACACCCACATGTTGTTCGTGAATTTGATTCCGCTTGACCATTTTTTTGAACTTATATTTTTTACGTGTTACTATATCACTGTGTATTGTTATTTGATAACGGTGGTGCTGATAGTAGAGACATATTTAACTTATTGAGACACAAACATTTCCATAACAGAAAAATCTGGAAAAATCTAGTGTAAGTGATAAACTTTCAACTCCCAATTCGCTAAACAACAGTGTTGTAATTTCTAGATTTCAACGCAAGTTTGAATTCGATAAGACGAGTAATTTTAACAATTGTTGAATTGTTTTTTTTTTTGAGTGAGATAATAATTATAACATATTAATTACTCGATAAGATCAGAAGTCTTGGTTTAGGTGTTACTGATTCTTCAGTTATTGTCCGCAAGAATATCTTGTTATTGTGTTTTGTTGTAGAAAGGGTTATCTGCCGATTCTTACTTATCAGCAGAAAAGTTACAAAAATCGTCAATAATGTATATTCACAGTTTAATAAGCTTAGGGAAAAAAACGACATCGTAAAGATACAGTAGTCATAAATTACAATGTTCTCAGTGTAAAAAATATATCAATTTATTCCACGTGTTCGATAATATCAGTATCACATTCCAAATCACAGTATTTGTGAAAAACAGACGTAGGTAATAACTTGTAAATGAAAATAGTACACAATACATGCATTAAAAAAACAACACACCTCCCATTATTGCAGAAAACAATAGACAACGTCAAGTTTAAATCTTCTGAATGATGAATTAAACATACGAAATCACACTGACCAGTTAAACACAATAACTATGACGATATTGAAATTTTCAAGACGGCAGCTATCCACCGGAACAAGATAGTGTCGAATGTCAAGATTGCAATAAATTTTAACACGCTGAAAGCTGTTGCCGGTGTATTTTTTGTTCCTAGAAACCACAACTAAAATGTTTGTTGTCATATACACAAAAAACAATGCCCGATCGCCATTTTGCAGTGGCACCAATTAATTTTAATGCCAAGGGCTCGGTCAAGGACAAATCAAAATGGCGGGAATGTAGTAAAAATACCAGAATTATTTTAAACACTATAGCATAAATATCACCGTCAAAATACATCAAAAAAACTTTTTTTAGTGTGCCTGCAAATGGGTTTTGCGACACCAACACAAGCTCAAGCAAGTAGCAAGGGCCTGCAGTTTGAAAGTGAAAGAAGCGTTTGGTTTTGAAGAATTTAGAACCTATGAACAGTACGACTCCGAGTACAGCTTTAGGGTAAGTTTTCAGAGCGACGTAAATAAATCCCAGTATTTGTTTTGTGTTTTGTTGTGTTTTTTTGGATGTTTGTTAAATTTGGCCTAGACCTACATTGGACGACAAATATTTCCAAGTTCTATTATCATAATACGCACTGTTTATTCACTTGTTGGTGACTATAAATTGACCATTTTTATCACTAAAGTAAAAAAAATCTTGTTTTTTGCAAACAGTGTAAAACAGGTTTGAAAATCATTTTCTGGCTTTTGTTTAAAATTGTAGGAACAATTTTAAATTAGTTTTACCAAATGTTTTTTTAACTAAAGCGTTGTTGTATAAATCTAAATTTCACCTTAGTCCATGGACAGGTTTAACACTTCTTTTTTTTCGTTGATTTCCGTAAATTTCTCGCATAGTTTTAAAACTTAACTATTTATTGTAATTTAAAAACAATTTCGAACGTAATTACTTATTCATTTCTATTTATTATCACTAACACGACTCATAATATCTTTTTAATTAAATTCCAAAATAAGCAAGAACATTATTTTTGTGTACTGGTGGTCAGCAACCGGTGAACAGGGGCGGATTTGTTTTACTTTGTAATGAATGCAATGTCTACAAAGGATAAAACACTTAATTCCTACCTGTTTAACACTTATGGAATCTTCTAGTGCTTTATTGTTTGTTGCCATATTAAGTCCATTTTATATACTTTAAAAACTAAAGAATATATGTACTTACTCTTACGTACAATGTAATATACAATTAATATTTAAATGATCATTTCAATATTCGTCGCTCATTCGCTTTTTCATTATTTCCTAAGTATACAATAATTTTCTTACAATGGTAAGTAGACATGCACTTTTCCGGTTAACATTATCAACATTTCAAATGAAATTAAAAATATCGATTGTAGTCTATTAGTCGCAGCTATCTCTGAACCATTTAGTTTCCATTTAAAATGTTGAAACACAAAAATGTACAATATCAAGATTTTATAGATATTTCACTTAGTAACACTGTTTTCATTGTTAAGGAAGTATCCATAAACATATTTTTTTCTATTCGCCATAAAAAATAAAACTGCCAATGCATTCATTACAGCTACTGCTAATTAATTAATTCAACTCTGTTTACATAATTATCAAATGAAAAATTCAGGAACAGAGATACAAAGCAAACCTTTTACATTGAACTTGACCTCGTTGACCACAGTTGTGTACAGTTAATCCAGCGTCGTAAAAAATTATTGGATTAAAAAAGTTTTGATTGGAAAATCGGCGCCTCATCCTTTTCTTTGTCTTTTACAGTACCAAGATCTAACCACCAAACTGGCTGATCCTACACAATTGCGCACTAAACCGGAAGTATCAGAGTTAAAATTTGGTCAGATTTTCACCGATCACATGTTGAAAGTTTTCTACCACAAACAACTTGGAGGATGGCAAAAACCAGTGATAATACCGTTTGAAAATATAAGTCTGCATCCGGCGGCAAAAGTGCTCCATTACGCTGTGGAGGTGAATAATGAACCATTTTTATGTATTGCGAATAACTGAGATCTTTTGTTACTCGCAGCTTTTTGAAGGTTTGAAATCTTATAGAGGTGTAGATGGAAAGGTTCGAATTTTTCGGCCAGACCTGAATATGCAAAGGATGAATTTGTCGGCACAAAGGGCCGGACTGCCTACTTTTGATGGGGTAGAAATGATTAAGTGTATTAATAGATTAATCCAAGTAGATCAGGAATGGGTGCCGCATAGTGAAGGGTCTAGTTTGTATATCAGGCCAACGTTAATTGGAATAGATGTAAGTATTTGGAGTTTGTTTTATTTTTAGCACTACAAATCACTCTAGGTGTACTTTTTATTTTGCAAAATGTTGATACAAATTTATCCAGAACTTTACCGTCCAAAACCTAGTCAAAATTTGTTTCATCGTGCATAATTTATTTCAGTATCCAGTATTTGTTCATCATAAATTCAGAATTATCGCGCAATTTATTGGTATATTGGTAATATCAGTTAGAGAGGTCTGACATCGACTTTCAATTCATAAATGTTAATTAAAAAATAGATACGAGTTACACCACTAAAACATGACCTTCAGTGTTTTCATTATCACTATGAGTGGATAATAATTAGTAATTGAATGATACCATATAATTAAGAGTCATTTAAAATGACAAATGTAACATTTTTTAAATTAAAATAAAGGTGAACAAATATGGCAAAAATTAACACAAGATTTACAAAGTTTTGAATTTTGACATTGTTAAGGTAAAATACGACTGATTAATGAACATATAAAACATATTTTTTAAAGTTTAAATATATATTTTAAAGTTACAGAATTTAACTAATGTCGAAACTTGCAATTCGATTTTTACTGTCAAAGTACTCTTTTAAAGTAGAATAAACGAAAAGATTAAAATGTAGAATACCTCAAAAAATTATTTACGATTTACCAAATCTTTATCATACATTACATGCCGATTAGTACACAAAAAACGTTCTCAAATATTTAAAAAAGAAATTCAACTATACCACGACAGAATTTTAGAAACATAAAAAATTAAAAAAAAAACGTAAACCAAAACACAAATTATCTTATTTAATCTATATCACCTAAGTTTATCAGTTGCAATTTTCAATATGTTGATAATTTTTATAGCGACTTTTGCCCTCTAAAATTATATCAAATTTTTGTTACCAACCTCTTTATGCACGCGTCGGTAGAGATTCACATCTTTGTATTTATGTCTTGCGATTTGATAACATTTATTATCGCATTTTATTTATTGCTAAATATGACGACATCGTAACAGTTTTGCAGATGACCCAGAAAAATATGTGTACACGATTATTTAAAAAAAATCTCTACAGTCACTATTCGTATATCATTTTATTATTTTTGTCATTAATAAAACATTATAAAAAATTTAATACTGTTGCTTAATATTTTGGTTTCTGACGAAATGTTAGGTGTTTTTTGTCATTATTGACGTGACTGTTTTAAATTTCAAATTTAAAATGCCCACGTCAATGACTTACATCAATAAGTTTTAAAAACCTACATTCTAATAGGTATACGGTCATTTTCTGAAACAAAAAAAAAATCAAAAAACTAATCTGAAATCGAATTTACAAAGCGTTTTGGTGCGTTGTTAAGTTTCCATTGTCCAAGACACAAAAAACATTCGCTGTTAAAAGAAATATCAATCTGAAGTTAAAACTGAATTTAATGACAATTTGTATAGTATACGCCATGATTAAAAATGTCATAGAGTTATGTTAACAAGAAATTAAATTACATATTATACTTGAAAAAAATATGAAAACCTTTTCTCAAACATCTGCATAATTTTGTGATGAGACATATTTGTCACATGAGCATTGCAGCAAAATCGGATAGTCTCACATCAAAACAAATATTAAATTTATAACTAAATTTAAGACAAATGCAATTTATTCATCATTTCCTTACAATAATAATATACCCGGAAAAGTAAAACCGAAACAACTTGTTGTAATAAATTTTAAAATGATAAATACCGTGTCCGTAAAACGTTTTTGTTATAACATTTTAAATAACCGCGCAATAATTCTACGACTAAAAATTCATTTTTAAGTGTTTGGAGAATAAATAAATACACATAGAATAATTTTTGTACATTTTCATTTTCTTTAAATCGCTAATGAGCTCTCTGTTTTGAGAATTAGCATACTACCCAATAGTAGATGACAATAACAAAACGATTTCTAATGCAATTATAACATTAAAGCTAATTATCTTCTACCAAATTAGCTAATTTTAATCGTTAATGTTAGGGCAAAGTAAAATTAATTTGTGCAAACTAATATAAACTCCTGCTTGAGCTATGTCTTTAAAATCATTGGGCGTAGTTAAACAAACTTTAGAAAACTTTGAAATTTTGACAACAGTTTCCAAAATTATTTTTTTAACAACTTATTATTTCTTCAAGGGCACTTTGGGAGTGGCTCAGTCAGAATCGGCCCTTCTTTTCACAATTCTTTGTCCCGTTGGCAACTACTTTGCCAGTGGATCGGACTCGGTATCTCTTCTGGCCGATCCTTCATATACGAGGGCGTGGCCGGGTGGTTGTGGAGATCGAAAAATGGGTTCAAATTATGGGCCTACCATTCGAGTTCAAACCACTGCTAGCAGTAAAGGGCGTCAACAAGTTTTATGGTTGTATGGACCAGACCATCAAGTCACAGAAGTGGGGACCATGAACATTTTCGTATTTTATATAGACGAAAATGGGGGTGAGTGTTCCCAAACCAAACGAAGATCACATTGTTCATTTTTTGTTGTTTAGATAAAGTCCTAGCAACACCCCCTTTGAACGGTTTGATTTTACCCGGGGTCACGAGGAACTCTATCCTTCAAATGACGACGGAATGGAAGGAGTTCAGAATTGAAGAAAGAATGTTCACAATGGCAGATATTATAAAACTGCTGCGAACTGAGAGAGTAATTTTATAATATTTTTTAAATTATTTGCAATAACTGGAAATTTATTTATTACAGCTTCTAGAAATGTTTGGGTCGGGAACAGCCTGTATAGTTAGTCCCATTAGTTCGATAGAATATCTGGGCGACCTTCTGCATATTCCTACCATAGAACATACTAACCCTTTGTATAAGCGAATACGAGATGAGCTATTTGCAATACAATATGGACACATCGAACACCCTTGGGCACAAGTTATAGAATAACGTAACTTTAACGTTATTTTTTGGTGAAAAATATCAAAATGACTGTGTTATTTCATTCATAGTTCCCACTTTGTGTCATGCTGTTATTGCCATTCCTCAGACTTGCATATATGTAAGGTTAGGTATTTTATTTTATACTTATTTAATTAACACTATACACTTTTGATGTGACTTGACACATTATAGTGAAACTATTTAAGCAGAATGTGACAATACTGTACATATAGGTAATTGCGCAAAATTTACCGTAAATTATAAGACGATGTTATATCATTTCAAGCAGGGTTTTAGTGTTATTTCGCTAAAATTAAATGCGACATTGATGTGCACCTTTTTCAGCAAAACAGTACGATGTGTGTTATGGATCCCAAAAGTTGTGAAACAACTTAAATCATCTAACTTAACCACATTAAACACTTTGCTGAGTATATTAAAACTGGAATAAGATTAACCGATCGTTTGAAATTTCATGCTAAGTGATAGAGATAAATGATAGAAAATATAAACCAAAAAGTTTAATTTATACTAAAGAAATTAGTTTGAGTCTTAGAAATTATTTATTATTTGTTTTAGTATTACACTGTTCTGTCTATGTCTAAATAAAAATTACAATCTGATTCTTTTTAAATTTTAGTTCTAAAAGCATTGCCAGAGTAATTGTGCTACTCCATGTTAAATGTTAACAACTTCATGCTTTGCACTGGGACCAACATAATATGTTATATGTCCGTGAATTTTGCTAAATAGACCATTTTTCGTGCAACTGCATGTACAACAATTCACAAGTCAACTATTTCTTGCTTACCAGCTTACAGTATATACTATATACAGGGTTATCATAAATGATTGTAGTCGAAGTAGGCGCTGACGCAATTGTTTTGATGTGCCGCATCTTACTTTCGAAAAATTATTAATTATAGTCCACTAAAGTTATGGGGAATTTTTGTTTTGCTTTGCTGTCAGAAGAATGTCATACTGGTCATTTGTCATAATACTTTCCCGCGCAGCGCACGTCTTGTTTACTTGTGTCAGAATACCCTGTGTTGTTGTTCCAGTCTTGTTTGTTATAAATTAAATTGAATTAAACCAGTTTTTATCAAAACTACAACGATTGAAAACAGCGATTAAGGTAACTAGAAATGAATTAATGTGTATTCATATTTCAAATAAATCTGTTTTAGGTTAAGATGGGGTACACTCTTGAACAAAATACGTTTATGGTTGTCTTACTATCGAAATGGGACGTTAAATGCGGACGGGAAATGGGTGTATTCTGTTCAAGCTTGCAAGGATGAGAATTTGGCAAAATTTCCAGAATTAAACATTGAAGAACAGTCTTTAATGACACACATAAAAAGAATCGTTGACCGATTCAACAGCACTGGAAATGTTTCTAAAGGCAAGTCACCACGAAGGCCTCCAGTTAGTGAAGAGGTCGTCGAAGATTTGAGGGAACGAATGGAGCAAAGCCCAAAAAAATCTTTAAGTAAACTGTCTTTGCAATCTGGTGTCCCATACACCATTTGTCAGAAAGTTTTAAAAAGAACATTACATATGCATCCCTATAAAGTAAGTCCATGAACTTAAACCAGCTGATTATCCTCGTCGTGTTGCATATTGTGAATGGTTTCAAAACAACATGAACAAAAACAGAATTTTGGATGTAATTTTTTTCCAATGAAGCATGGTTTCATCTAAATGGCTACGTTAATTTGCAAAATTATAGAGTTTGGAGTGCTGAAAATCCTTTTGTTTTTGAAAAGAAGAATTCCTTTAGTACCCAGAGCAGTGATTATACTGTACCAAAAAAATTTTGTGATGCCTCAAATTGTAGACGAGCAAGCAAATGTGAAAGATTGTTGTTCATCTAGCTCGTTTTCCAGACTTCATTGGCGCCTTGGACTGCTCATATAAAAATTAAATTACCAGGTATATGAATTTTTGTTAACATAGAACACAAAAAATGAAATAGTAAAAGTTATAGGTCGAGAAGATCCAGAAATTTTTAGAAATCAGGAAGATTATCTCTTGATTAATGTACAAGCCATATGTGATGAAATGATTAAATTTCAAATATTGTGGCACAATGATCAGTAGCTACAAATGATAGTACTATTTTTAATCATTGTTCAGTTTGAAATCTGTTTGAAAATACACAACTGCAAAGTTGTGTGCTCTTGGATAGAATATTTTAAGAGAATTTTATTATATTATTATATTTCTAAGTAACAAGTTATCCCTTAAAAAAATACTTCTTGACACTGCTGATATATCCCGTTACTCCAGCACAACAGCTCTATTATCAGTGACACATTGGAAGCCGCAACAGAATTGGGTGCACATTTGGGATTCTGAAACGACAGTGTGGTGACCGAATTTAAATCAAACTTTTCGCGCTGAAATTAATTGACAGCGGCGCGAAATCGCATTTGAATAATTTGAATTTAAAAAGAAAAAAAAAAGTTCAATCACGAAAAGGAACTCCTTAAACATAGGCAACCAAATATGCATGGATGGTCTAATGCACGTAGCGCTTAGGAGTTAGTTTGCATGATCTTTGAGTAGGTGGCAGCACGTAGCGCTAGGGTAATTTCAGTTAGAGGGTTGGTAGAAAAACCGCGTGGTAGATTCATTACGAATGTGGCTGTGTGTGTGTGACCACGTGGTAAGCGCTAGGTTTAAATTAGTTGGTTTGGTAGTTAATAAAACGGGAGAAAGCCTTTGTTTAACGACGATCAAACGTATTTTTCATAATGATACAGTTGTCCCCAACCCGCGCGGTAAATTCTTGCGCCCTTTTAATCGAAAATTGCAGACTTCCGGTCGGACGCGAACACGTGTTGTGAATCTGTTTCTTTGTTTGTAAATTCACCAATCAAGCTAGTTTTTCTTAATAGTCAGCTAGTGCAAACACAATTTAACAATCAGGATTATTTAAATTAACCATTTGCTAGAAGATGTCATGAAATTCACTTAGTCAGGAAAAACACCTTATGTTTAATTACGAATAGGTCTCTGGATGCATATACGTAAGTGTTACATTATAACACTTCTAAATTCTTCACACAATATTGCTAATAGTTCATTTACGGCAGTTAAACAAGTTCATTATACTGCGGACTGGCGGGGGGTTATGATATTTTCTCCCCTTAGGTGGTTATCATCGTTATCACGATTAATTCATCGGGGCATGTTTCGCAACGCCAGATTGATTAATTAATTAAGGCATGCCCCCAACGCTACAGAAAATTTACATTACCGAGACGCTTTTTCCTCGCAACGATTTTGGATATTTACATCACCGAGACGCTTTTTCCCTCGGAGCGATGATTGGATATTTTTGTATTTGTTTATTATGTGTTTTGTTGGGGTAACCAGTTCGTAGTATTTTAACTTCTCAAAGTAAATTATTTTTGAAGTAACCAATCATTTAGATCATGATATAATTTGGCATAATGTAAACTCTTTGTTTGAACTGTTGATAAAGTGTGGCAAATATTAATCTCCTGTAAATTATGTTAACTCTGCAATTTTTCACATCGTACTATATTTCTTAATCTCACAATCTTAACCTCAGTAATTTTATTTGTTGTATAAATTTAATTGAACGTAAATTTCATGTTCTACAGTTCTAACCTCACATAACATTTCTACGTGTACAAGTTTATTTCACACCAGATCTTTCGTCTCATAAATCTTTGCTAAGTTTTGTTTTGTAAATACTTTGTTGATGAATGTTTTCTATCATATAAATTATTTGATGTCCAACTTTAATCCCACATAAGAATTATTTGTTGTTTAAGATTTCACAAGATTGTATGGCGAATTTAAATGTTGTTTATTGCTCTTTGACACTTTAACACTTGTTCAGTTGTTGTTAACATCAGAGTTATAAGAGATTGAATGTTTTAAAATGGAACTGAGGTTAAATGACACAGAAAACGTGGCAGAAGCGAGGTTTGGTTCCTAGTCGAGCTGGCGAGATTTATCGCGCCACCTGTACAAGTCCACAGGTTTGGATAGATTCAGGGGGCGGCCGCCGACGTTGTAAATTTCTCAGCTCCTGTACATAGCTTAGATCTTTGCGGGTTGGACGACCGTAATGGCCTAGTTCCGCAGGGCAAAGTTCGTCATGGGATATGCGTGTGGGGTAGGCTTTGCGATAGATAGAATCACCGTCGCGGGGGGAGAACAGTTCCAGACCGGTAGCTCAGACTCCGCTTATGCTACAACGCTCCAGGGGTACTTTTGTTGTACTCCTGTTAACTGCCGTAACAAAAAAAAAAAGGGGGAAAAAGAGATCGGCCGCCACACGCCTGTAATAACTTGTGTATTTGCATCCAGTTACTTGATTCAGCTTTTGCTTTGTTTTACTAAATTTGTGATATTCAAATATTTGAATTGATTCCAAACAGATGTACAGAATTTCCGTTTGTTCGTTTTTCGTGTGTGTATGTCTGTCAATTCGCGAGTGTTTTTCTTTCACATATCTTAAGGTGTTTGAAATGTAATAAAATGTCGTCCGGGAATAAAACCAAGGGGGTTTTTGCGCTGAGGGGTAAATCTTCGCAGCGTATTTCCCCCTGTGAGGGTGGTGCCGTTTCCCCCCCTCCAAAACAATTTTTGTCTATTATTTCTTGCGCTCTCGACAGTGTATGCACTTGTATGAAAGAACGTCTTCCCGCCATTTTTCAAAAAAAAAAAAAACAACGTAGGTTCCTATTTGTTAGACGATCATAGCCAAGGCCAAACTTTGAATTTTTGAATTTTTCGCGGGCCTTTCAAACTGTTTCAAGGTCAAATTTTGAGGCGGGAAGTTTGGGTTATCACAACAGTTTCCTGTGTTAACAGTTGTGATTGTCGCTGTTGTTTTACACAACATTTTAAAACAGATTGTAATATTTGACAGTAAAAATTTATTGGTAATAAAATTATTATTTTTTTGTTGATTTCATTTATAGTGAAAAACATATTAAAATTTATTTATAAACTAACAATATCTCATGTTATTGTTAACATTACATTAAAAATGAGCATCATTTAATTGAAAATGGACTCTTTAATGTTTTAATTTGAAGTAAGTACATTTAATTCAATGTCTGGTTTTAAAACCCTTTTCCTAAAATTAAATTCTTCAATTTCTCGTTCCTTCTTTTGTAGTTAACAACTCCTGCCCTAAATATTGGTTTTTTAATTTTGCCACTTCATAACCCTGCCACTGCTGTGAAATTATGTTCCCATGAACAGTCTCCATAACCTTTGCTCTTCTTCCGCTAAACCAATTTTTAGTGTGAAGTGTGAAGTTACTGATCCATCAGCTTTTTAAAATTATTTGGAATGTAACACGCCAGTGGTCCTTAAAATAATTTTCTATGGATAACAATGAAATGTATACCTACTTACTTCTTTTGAGGTTGTTGGTAAATCATGACCACAGAACACTGACTACCACCCTGTTCAACTATGCTTTTCTGTTGAACATTGGAACCAAGGCTGTGATGTCATCTCGTACCTAAACACACAGGATTTCCTCTGCACCATCTTGGCTATTTGTTGGTTTAATGCTTTCATTTTCGTCCCCACTATGTGAAATGTACGTCTCCAGTCTCCACAAGTG